CTTTGCAGTATCCAGCTGGTAGGTGAATCAATGGTCATCAGCACGCGACTGATGACTGTTCGCCTACAACTCGGAAGAGCTACGTTTGACACTTTTGTAAACATGTACGATCCGGCCATGTGTTATCCTGATGATACGCGTGATCAATTCTACACTCAGCTATCTTCCGTGATACCGTCTGTGCCGAGGAGCGACGGACTATTTCTGCTAGGTGATTTCAACGCGCGCGTTGGGCGTGATGCATCGGTGTGGACAGATGTTATCAGTCCGCATGGCCTTGGTTCAGTGAATGCGAACGGTGACAGGCTGCTCTCACTGTGTGCCACTCAGGGCATAATGATCACGAACACTCGGTTTGCACTGAGTGCGAGTGATATAGTAACTTGGACGCACCCACGGAGTGGTCACGCTCACCTGCTCGACTATGTCATCGTACGTCACCGTGATATGCGTGAAGTGTGCATGACACGTGTACTGCATGGAGCTGAGTGTGACACTGACCACAAATTGGTGCGGACCAAACTGTTCATCTATTTTCGTTAATCTATATATTGCCTGGCCATGGATCGGCGTAAATTTAACATTCTCTCCCTCGGTACTGTGTCGAAATGTACTGAGCTGGAGAAGTTGATGGCTGCACGCCTGTGTGATGTGGACTGCTGGCCACAGTGGGTGACCTGTGGCACCACATTCGCGACCAATTGGCAGCTGCTGTCGGGGAGACCCTCTGGCGCGCAAACTGTAAGCGACCTGATTGGTTTGATGCGAGCTCTGCGACGATTGGCGCATTGGTGTCGGAGAGAAATGCACCATTTGATGCACATGTCACAGACCCCAGTGACTTGCGGAAGGATAATCATTTTCGTAAGCTTCGACGGCGACTGACCCGAGAGCTCCGTCTCATTAAAAATGCATGGTGAACGGAGAAGGCGAAGCAGATGGAATGCTGCGCCGAACGCCGCCAACACAAGAAATTCTTCGACTTCTTGTTGGCGGTGTATGGACCGAGGTTGAAGCCTCTAAGGATGCTGATCGATGGTAGTTAAGGAGCTACCTGCACACAGACTACAGACAATGCAGATCTGGCGAAAATGCTTTGATTGTCTCTTGAACAACCGTTCAGAGATCGACTGGCCTACTTTTAACATCCTCAAGCAGCACGGTGTCTGGCGGACACGCCGACACTGGATGAGACGCAGAGAGCACTTGCTCCACTGCGAAACGGTAAGTGTGCCGGTGCTGACAGAATCCCGCCTGAAGTATTCAAACACGGCGGACCCGCGTTGGTGACTGCGCTGCCCCACTTGTTGCAAGGCGGATGGATTGAACAGGATGTGCCTCCTGAGCTGAAGGATGCCCTTGTGCTACCACCGTACAAGGCACAGGTAGCAAGCAATGTTGCACGAATTATCGTGGCATCAAGTCGCTGATTTGTGTGGGCAAGGTGATTGCCCGAATCCTGCTCAACTGCCTTGTCAGTCAGGTTGTGGAACCCAACGTGGCGGAAGAGTAGTGTGGATTCCGCTCGGGTCGCAGCACTATATATATGGTGTTTGCGGCTCGTCAGTTGCAGGGGAAGTGCAGAGAACGACACCAGCCGTTGTACTTGCTTTTTGTTGATTACACTAAGGTATTTGATACGGTGAACCGCGAGGCATTGCGCCTGGTGTTGGGTAAGCTTGGTTGCCCGCGTAAGTTTGTAACTTTAATTGTATGTCTGCACAGTGGCATGCGGGCGAGGGTGCAGCTGAGTGGAGAGGCCTCGGATGCCTTTTCAATTGTCACTGGTGTGGAGCAAGGCTGTGCCTTAGCTCCTGCTCTGCTTAATATTTAGCTTCATGGCATGATGTGCTTTTGATGCCGCTTGTGCTTAAGGTGTTCGTGTGGAGCACTGTATTGATGTTGGATTGCTGAACGTCTGTCGTTTCGGTGCGAGAACTCCAGTCCGTGAGACAACTACCCCTTATGTTGCTGTTTGCTGACGACTGTGCGTTGTTTGCACACGGTGCGGATGAGTTGCAGCATATGACTAGTGCTCTAGCTCCGACAGCGGCCCAATTCGGGCTCACCATCAACACAAGCAAAACTGTTTGTCTCTTTCAGCCTTCACCGGATGTGCAATCTTCAATATTGCCACGAATCAGCATTGGTGCTGAAGTATTGGAAACCACCTCCCGCTTCTTCTACCTTGGTAGTGTGATGTCGACTGATCAGCAGATACACGTTGAGTTGCGTATTCGCTATCGATGGCAGCAGCAGCATTCGGGAAGCTTTAATACCGGGTGTGGAACAACCATCTGCTTAACATTGGCACAAAGCTGATGGTGTACAAATCCATGTTGCTGTCCGTTCTTCTATACGGCAGTGAAACGTGGACGATGTACCGTCGGGATGTGCGATATCTCGAGCGGTTCCATCAGCAGTGTCTGCGACGAATTTTGCGCATCGGTTGGGGCGCCAGAGTTGCAGACACGGAATTGTTGCGCCGAAGTGGGATGTATGCAGTGCACTGCATACTTTTACTGCGACACCTGATATGGCTCGGTCATATGTGGCGTATGGATTCGACTCGGATACCGAAACAACTCTTATCCGGTCAGCTGAGTATTTGGGAAGCGGCACGTGGGGAAACCAAAGTTACGTTACCAGGACATGATTAAAGTGAGCCTCACACGTTCTAATCTTGATTGCAGATCATGGGAATCGAAGGCGGTTGATCGGCGTGCATGGCGCGATCTGATCACGAAGGCAGTTGCCGAGGTGCAGGAGAAAGCCCTTATGCATGCAGAGAAGAAGCGGCAAGTGCGGAAGCGACACGCACCGATGGGTTGTTCTCCATCGACATCAAGCGCATGGTGCTGTAGAACATGCGGTCGCGAGTGCCTTAGTCAGGCAGGCTTAGTGAGCCATGAGCGAGGCCCCTGGGGACTACTATCGAAGCGACGACGGATTCTGCAGAGAACGTAGGCAGAACCGGCGCAGCGTTTTTAGGTACGCTACATTCGATTTACTAACCGCGTGCTTGCATACAAAGCCTCTTTATTTCAGGTGGTGGGTTTTCAGTTTTGTCCTAATGCGTTTCTCATATAAATGTCTAGTGAGCCATGAGCGAGGCCACTCGGTCCCACTACAGAGGCGACGACGGGTTCTGCAGAGAAGTATTCAGAACCGGCGCAGCGTTTGTAGGCACGCTGCATTCGATTTACTGACAGCGTGCTTGCATGCTAAGTCTCTTTATTTCAGGTGGTGGGTTTTCAATTTTGTCTAAATGCTTTTCTTTCTCATATAAATGTCTACCTGTACTCTATTCCATTAACTTGCACACCTCGCTTAAGCCAATTGTATTCGATTTCCGTAGCATTTTTGTGTTCGTGGCATTCCGTAAAGTAAACTTTCTGACCTCGTGAATTTATCTAGGATTCGTTTGTAAACAACTTATTTCATATGCTCAGTAACTTCAGGTTTATGTCACCCTTTCCTTATGCATTAATCGAGTTTTTTTTTGTATATCTCTCTCTCAAGTGATTGGCTGTTGTTTGATATCCCCGGTGTGGCTGCGCTTGATGTGCACATTGACAAGGTGCCTACCTGTCTGTTACCCACTGCCTCGTCCATACTGGCTCCAGGCGACAGTTGGTCGTTGCGGGAGGGGTGGGGTGCACGGTCCTTGTGGCTGTGTTAGGATCAAAGAGTGGTTCCATGCACTCAGTATGGAGCGGACTACGGTCCAGCCACCGCCTTGTGTGCGCTTGATTCCCAAATACAGCGTGCTTGTGTTTGTCTGTGAAGGAGTGTTGGCCGGTTCTGTTGATGAAACGTAGCTCCCATCCAGATGCTTCCCGGTCTTATTCCTTCGGGTTTACACTGGATATGGAGTGTGTGATTGGAGCTATGGGTGGTGCAACGCAAGCCACCCATGGTCCATCAGCCACAGGGCGCAGGCATCCTGTGGCTGGCCACAATGACAGGCGTTTGCTTCGTCGTATTATTCCCTTTGCTGGTATGTCCAACGCTCGCACTTGTCTGTTGCTTTCTTTCTGCGCTCGTTATCCTATATACTCATATTTCTCTCCTTTTGCCTTTAAATTACTTCCTACTTTTATGGATATCATGGCAACTTTGTCCACTGCGTTTGCATGGCTTGACTATGATTTATCAGCTTTACTGAGCTTTATCCTCACTTTTCTATCACAGGGTACTGATCTATCGACACAAATGTTGAAAATAGATCAACTCCACTCGACTTGGTGCTATTAACATGAATCACGATTGATTTAATGATCATATTTCTTTTCGAACCACGTTTTTCTCTCTACTGTACACTATTCCTTTTCTTCAGTATGTATGCCTTCACGATTAAGCCTTTGATCTCTCTCCTGTGTGCGCACTGCTGCACCAGTATGTTAACATTTAGGTGTGCAGACGTGTGTGGCAACTTATTACTCTGAACGAAAACTTCTATTGACGGATCTCTTTTCCATATTCTGCGTTCGCTAGTCGTCCGGTCTACTTTGAAGACGGCTTTAGTATCTTGTATGCCTTTTGATGTTTTTTTGTTTTGCTTACAACCGTAGCAATTGCCAGCGTCCGGCTATTCGGATCATTGCACTTTTCTCGTAGTATCTTACAGCCATTTTTTTACTACCTGGTGGGACAACCGACCATGGCAGTTTCACGCACCATAGTAGCTCGGTTTTCGGAACTCCTTTCCTGTTGCGAGATGATGTGCACTTATTTTCATACTATACTTATGTCTGTGATTTCTATGCACTTTGACGTATATATCAGAATGCTTTGACAAGTGTCTTGTGTGCTCTTCATGTGACTGCTACTCTGCTCCGTGACGTTTCTCTTTTGTGGAACGTTTGTTTCACTGCGCTTGTTTGCTTCACCTGAATATTAAAAATGTGTGCTGATCTGTTGACAATGTCTGCTGCGCATGTTCATTTTGCACAGCTCTTCTCATTACGGTTTGTATTTTATCCTACAGACTTCACCTGATGCACTTCCATTCGTATCAGCAGAATGATGAACAATCTCAGACTCACTCCACAAAATGGATACATTGCGACCAATTACAGCGTTCTGATTCAAATGCCTTTGATTTCGATGGACTACCTCGGATTAAAGATCTTAGGGATTTTCTGGAGCGAGAAATCGATGATAACCTTGCGCGGCTTGATACTATACTTACTGCTGAAAATGCTTCTATGCGTTCCAATGCGGTATTATTAGAGACAAGAGAATTCCTGCGCCGTTTTCGGGGGAATTTTACTTTATTGTCTGGATCGATAAATAATTTTTGTATAGTCGTGAGTTCGTCATTTTTTCTAGGTATCCATGCAATATTTTCCGTGAGTATCCATATGTGATTTGATCGTTTTTTCTTATTCACGCAAATATTGACTACTGTTCCTACAGCTGGTTTACTCAATCCGTGGCCTATGTGGCTATTGGCGTGACAAGGCACGCTATTTGACTACGGTGCTCGATCACACTGTTATTTAATGCTACATTGGTTGGGGACATCCATAGTACACCGACACGTCGTACTAACGCTTTGCTGCCGCGTGACCACTACCGGTCGCGCTTGGGCTGGGTATACCGCGAGGTCAGCTGTACCTACTCGGATTTGAGCCGGTGGCTTCCGGATTACAACGACCTAATTCTTTCGGCAACCAGCCGAACCTCAGTAGAATCCCAACCAGGTAGTCGACAACAACCGGCCGTGGCCAACTATTTTGACAACTTTTTCATGCGGCTTCAAGTTGCAGGCTGTCCACCAGACGGTCTGTTCCAGCACCCGCAAACAACGCACGACGCGGGTAACGCTGGACAAGCATGCGCAATACGTGTCCCAGCCATCGCAGTTGATACAGTGAGACGAGCTCATCGAGCGAGTGGCTTTCTCTTCCCGAGACACGCTGTCCAAGGTCCACGTTGCTTACGTGGTGCCGCCACTACACACGTGCAATGAACCGCAGACAGTAGTGCTCGAAGACGGATAGCCGGCGCAAGTCATCTTTACGAATGGGCCTGGTCTCGCATCCATACAACAGTACAGCACGAACGGTTGCACAATAGACCCGCCCTTTGATGGAGAGACGAATGTCATGGCGACGCCACAAGTGCCTCAGCCTAGAAAAAGCGAGGCATGCTCTCAAGGTACGCATCGAAATCTCGCTTCCAACAGCCCAGCCAGCTGTGCTGCCCCTTCCGAAGTAGACAAAGCTCTCCGCAATCTCTAATGTCTCACCACCAAGAGTGATTGCAGTCAGAGGCACCTGCCAGTCTTGGAAGATATCCTTGCATTTTGGTGGCGAAAAGTACATACCATACTTTGATGCTTCAGTCGCCAAGCGGTTTAGTGCAACTTAGACGACGTGTGCATCGTCACCCAGCACGACGATATCTTCAGTATAATTTATTATTATTATTATTATTATTATTATTATTATACACGTTAGCTGCAGGTGGAAAACACCTCAGCTTTTGTGCCGTAATACAAAAGACAAGAAAAGAAAAACAAACAGTGGCACGCTGGCTGCATCCCCAGTAATGAATGAATATTTTTCTGGAGAGCTAACAGCTGGCTATCGTGCCGTAAAGAGCAAATTATATTATGCCTAACGAGTGAGATCGTGATTGGAGGGGGATGCTAAGCAGAAGAGTGATGGACAAAGAGACTCACAACACAAACGCCATTGGGGCCGGCTCCAAGCCATATCAGCAAGTGTGTCCAACCAAACATGTTCCCCTCCTTAGGACCCCGGCCAAGCAGTCGGGATGCACCAACCGACGCCAACTTCGAAGTGAGGGTTTTCATCTCTCTCGACCAAGTCATCGCTTGGCCTCCCCTCCTCCTCTTCCAACCGCACCCACAACGCGCAAACAATGCACGTCGCGGAAGTCGGTGTGCTGGCATGCGCAACACTTGGCCCAGCCATCAGAGCCTGGTGCTTGATATAATGGGGCTGAGCGGTTCACTCGTTCTTCCTGCACCAAATACACGACGCCGAACACGCTCATTGTTCACCCGGTGTTCCCACCAGACATGAGCTAAGCTGCGAAAGCAGCGATGATCGAATATGACGAGTCTCTTTATGCCTGTCGACCTGATGGGCCAGGTTTCACAACCGTATAGGAGAGTTAAACGGACGGCTACGTTATAAACTCTGCCCTTCAGGGCGAGAGTAATGTCGCGTCTGCGCCACATGTGGCGGAGATTGGCAAAAGTACCTCGAGCTTTTGCTATACGGTTCGTAACCTCATCTTCAATCCCATGGGTGCTAATATAGCTGCCCAGGTACTTGAATTCCTGAATGACTTCTAGCTGATCACCACAAAGCGTTAGCGCAGGGTTGGACCCCTGCCAATCTTGGAGAAGTTTTTGCATTTCGATGGAGCAAAGCATAGCCCAAAACGATTGACAGCCAGTGCTAATCGGTCCAGTGCTGCCTGACATGTTTAGGAGCTGCCACAGATTAGAAGAATATCGTCCGCCTACTCCAAGTCAAGAAGTCGCTCACCAGGAAGTAGCTCCACACATTCTAGGTCGTGTCAAGCGAACGCTGTTTCTATGATTTAATTAATAGCGAAGTTAAAGAGGAAAGGTGACAGCGGGCAACCTTGTCTCACACCGCTGGGGCTACTGAAAGGTGGCGACAGTTTGCCATGAACCTTCACTCTGCCCGAACTATGCGCCTACAGCGCTTTGATAATGTGTACATATTTATCAGGCACACCCTTCGTCAACAGACAGTCCCAAAGGGCACGTCGATTGACTGAGTCGAAGCCACCCTTTATGTCAAGAAACACGACAACAGTGGGTCGCCAGCAAACATGGCGCTGCCCCAACAATTGACGCAAGGTGAAGATGTGGTCGATGCAACCCCGACCTCGCCGAAGTCCAGCTTGCTGTTCACGAATCTGGCTTTCACGAGTGCCAGTCAGTCTGTGGAGAATGACATACGCAAGCAATTTAGAGTCAGTTGTGATCAAACTGATCCCTCTGTGATTCCCGCATTTCGAACGGGAGCCTCCCTTGAAAATTGGGACAATGACGGAGCGGCTCCATTCTGTCTGGATAGTCTCTTGCTCTCAACGTTTTACTAGCAACTCGTGTAAATCATCTACTAGAACAGGTTCCCCGAATTTAAACAGGGCTGTGGGAATTCTATCTGCCCTTGCAGCCTTATGCAATTTCAACAGTCTGATATCGCGTTCGACTTCTGCGCGTGAGGGCGGATTCAAGGAGACGGTCCAGGGAGAAGGGCGCTCAATGCCCGAAAAAGAAACCGATAACTCAGGTTGTTTAAATTGCCTTGCAAAGTGTTCAGCCCATCGCCCCAAGCGTTTTGACAGGCCGTGGATCGGCTGCTCACTCTCGTCGCGTATGGTCTCGCTAACACCAGGTCTCCTGCTGCCTGTTTCCCGTATCCGACGGAATAACTTAGGATGATTGCCAACGGTAGCGGCTGTTTCCATCTCAGATGCACGATGAGACCACTAGGATTCGCGGTCTTTCTTCAGCGTAGCACGTAGTTTTGCCCAGAGATTTTTGCGAGCCTCATTGTATTCGCTTCCAGCCGGAATACGTCGGCGAGCATCCATAAGTTCCAGAGACTGTGTAGGGACCCAATGTCCAGTTTGGCAATTTGCTTTGCCACATGAAGACATGCCTGCTAACAGTAACGTTTTACGAATATGCGACCAATGATCATCGACGGTGTTCAGTGTGCGCTTACTCAGCCCACGGATGTCAGCGCACTTTTATACACACTCGGAACGCCTGGCTTCGCCAGCTGGCTGGTGTCAATCCGTTCACATCGATGTCGCGGACGTCCACCGAAACGCACCCGGAGGTCGGCGCAGACAATTGCGTGGTCAGAGTCCACGCTCCAAATCGATCGACAGTTTCGCACACATCCTCTCCAGCGGTAACTGATCGCGATATGATCGATTTGCGTCCATGGTTGGCCTGTGGCTGGTGCGTGCCAAGTCACTCTTCTGCGGGTGCTGTGTCAAAAGTTAGTGCTCGCGAGATAGAGGTGGGCATCTTCACACAGCTGTAGCAATCGTTCACCGTTATCATTACGGGAGCCTACACCATGTTGGCCACCCAGATGAAGCTCATCAGAGGACAATTTTCCGACTTGGGCGTTCAGATCGCCAGCCAACACCACAGTATCCGTGCTTCTTCTGTAACGATGGAGCTCGTGAACATGCTGATAGAAATCATTTTTTACCGAACCAGTGCTACAGTTTGTAGGGGCGTAGGCCGCAATGACAAACACGCACCGTGTGTCTCCGCGCGACTTCGTAGCACGGAACGAATCAGCTAACCTAACGGCGCACATCCAACTGTTTACTGGGATCCAATCGATCAGGGTAGCTTCAGCCCGGGGACTCAAAACAATGCCGACTCCAACTTTACCGGCATTCGAAGCTGCATCATCGCCAGACGGGCGCAATGAGAATGTGGCACCAGTGTCGCATGTGTGTGATCACAGGATAACCACTTACCTCGAATGTTGCAGGCGGGTTTCTGATAAACTGAAGATATCGATCGAGAGGGTCTCTAGTGTGCGGGCAAGTGCTGTCTATTGGCCAATCTGTAGCAAAGTGCGCAGGTTGAGACATGCCAGTCTTAGCGATACGCGAGGACTCCAAAGGGAAACGGATGTACTGACGTTGTCCGCTTGGTTGAACATGCACTTGTCGACTGGATTGGAGCGACGCCCTGCGACTCTGTGTGATTTGAAACTAGAAGACAAGCGACTATTGAAGTAAGCTGAGGGAGGGCCTAGAATTGGGGATTGAAAATGGGTGGATAAAAGTAAAATTGGAGCGGGACGATAAGAATGAAAAAGCGCAAGAAGGGGGATAAGAAGACGGGTAGGCCTGAGCAGTAGCATCCATACCCCTATCCACTCTGTTCGATGCAGCAGATAGGGCGCCGTTTATTATCCTTTGCGACGGCCAGAGAATGAAGATATTGTTTGATGAAGGGTTCATTGTACTGCGTAGGCAGAATACTGTCAGATTGCCCACGCCTAGTCAGGGACGATTGGGGTTCTTAACCAAAGCCTTTGGTTCAAAAACCTTACCGCAAGGCAGCGGGTTTTGGCACTGGACTACAGAGAGCCCGTTTTAGAAAGTAAGGAGCCACCCTTTTTCCAACCCCTAACCTGGAGGAACAGGAGGCTGAATTTGTCTGGCCTCTAACCATTGACCAATATTGTATGGGTGGCTCTGAAGGTGCAAAAAAGCACCACCCAGCATAGGTCAATGGATCTATGAGGCACGCAGA